TAGATCAAAAGGTACCGTCTTGGCAGGAAAGTAAACGGCACTCCATGCAGTCATGCCGGCTACATGACCAGGAGGTGTCTATGGACAACGCAGGCTCTTTGGCTTAGAAATGGAGTACCACCCCCAGAGCCAGAGATGACGTTCCCCTTTACTTTTATCTGTATGTCTGTGTTTCATTGTTTCGAGGCATTGTATGTTTGCCTTGTGTCTCTGAATATGCTGGAATCCACCCTAAGGGATATAGGGTGGAATACAAATGAAGTGTTGTTGTTGTTGTTGTTGTTATTTCTACTACGACTATTACTACTACTACTACTGCTACTACTACTACTACAGGAAGGTCAGATGTAATAGATGGGATTTAGGTCAATGCTCCGTAAATTGGACCAAAGCCTTGGTTTTAGGATTTGTTAAGCTAAGGCATCAGGCAGACACTACAAAGTCCCAGCAGCCACTTTTCTGTTGAATTCAAAGCATTGCTGCAGGAAAGCAATCAGTACAGCTCCATGGAGCGCTGCAATGTTGTGCTTTGAAATATCTCAGACAGACACAGCAGACATGCAGATAATCTATAGGACAAAGTGGTCAATGTCAACTGACTCTTGGAAGCGTAGTGTGAAAAGATGAGAGAACGGATGTAGTAGGGCATTATGGAAGAACGTATGACTAGCTGGAACCCTAAGTAGGCACTCTCAACATTGCAACATGGTCATTCTTAATATGATAACGGTGGTGGTAATCGTAATGGTGGTGTATGTTCAATTGACCCTAAGACAAGCATATCACAAGATTTTCTGGGGCTAGTATATACTTGTCCAAGGTCATCCTGTGGGTTTCCATGGATTAACATGGAACCAGTGCCTGGTCTCCAGTCATAGTACATTTCTCATACCATTACACCATGGTGGCTTTCTATTTCCAAATTGATCTTTGAGTGAGAAAAACAGACCAAGATGGAGATCTTCAGGCTCAAATATGGTGGCCACTTCACATTCAATGTTACGTCTTTGAGGGAGAATTTGTAAGAGTTTGGTATCAGGTCAGACAGGAGAGGGATTTTCAGGTCAAAGGCACCCATGTTGCAATATTGAGTGATATTGATGAGCGGGGTTCTCCTTCGATGCTACAACAGTAATGCAGTTGCTTTGTGTCCCAGCCTGGGAGAAAGGGTGTATATAAATAAAAGGATTAGTGGCTGGATGATACAGGTAAGGTTAGGAAATAGGTCAGAATATCTTCTGATTCAGCAGGTCATGGAAACAAGCATGAGAGTATTAGAACTGGAGTAAAACCTGGCGAATCAGGTGATATGGCAACTCAGATGGGTGGGGCAGAGGAGAGTTTTAAGGGTGGCAAAATTCACCTAGTGACGTTCACATCCCGCATGGTCTTAGTTGCAGTACACAATAACTTGAAAAACTGCAAGTCACTTCTGGTGTTAGAGAATTGGCTGTCTGCAAGGATGTTGCCCAGGGGACACCCGGATGTTTTGATGTTTTACCATCCATGTGGGAGGCTTCTCTCATGCCCCTGCATGGGAAGCCGGAGTTGACAGAGGGAGCTCATCCGCACTCTCCCTGGATTTGAACGTACGACCTGTTGGTCTTCAGTCCTGCCAGCACAAGGGTTTAATCCATTGCACCACCAGGGCCTCCTTGATTCAGAGCTTATTTCCAGGTCACCGGCTGATGATGCAGCTTGTAAAAACATCAATGGTGGTCATTGGCACTATTCACAGGGATTGTATAACAAGAACCATAAATATTTTTGCCTTAATCCAAATGGCACAATGCATGTATCTGTATCCAGACCCACACCTCCCACTTTTGGCTTTTTGGTATCCTAATAACAAAAAGCTTTAATACCAGGGGTCCTGGCATCACCTGGAAAGTGGAGAAGATGAAAAAAAAAAACCCAAGTCTTTCCCTCCAAGTGCAACTTTCTTTGGGATTTGGCTTCCTTTCTGAAGATCTAGAGATTCATTATTGTTCAGCCGATTTTGACACTTTGTGACCTCATGGACCAGTCCATGCCAGAGCTCCCTGTCAGCCATGGCCACTCCCAGCTCCTTCAAAGTCAAGCCAGTCACTTCACATCCATTCATCTTGCCCTTGGTCAGCCCCTTTTTCCTTCCATTTTCCCCAGCATCATAGTCTTCTCTAAGCTTTGCTGTCTTCTCATTATGTGGCCAAAGTTCTTCATCTTTGCCTCTAATATCCTTCCCTTCAATGAGCAGTTGGGCTTTATTTCCTGAAGTATGGACTAGTTGGATCTTCTCACAGTCCAAGGCACTCCAGAGATCCATAGTTATTCCCTAAGCTTTCAGCTCACAACCAGGCACCCTTAGGGAAGGGGGGGGGGGGGATAGGAGGAGAATTTTTTTTAACAATTGGAAATGTATGAATAAGCCAGTAGCTTTCTTCCTTTCTGACCACAGGCCAGGTGTAGAATCCTTTTGTGGTTATCATTTGATCTTTACATATTTTAAAGAAAGGGTGTGTTCTGCTCATTTTTTCTGTGTAGAATGATGACTAGGCTTTGTGGTCTCAGGGCTATTCTTTGTGAACTAAGAATGCCCCTTGGAACATAACAAATATGAGCCACATGCCTCTTCTTTTGACAGAAGGCAGCGTGTGTATAAATGAATAAATACATGGGTTGTTGTGAGTTTTCCGGGCTGTGTGGCCATGTTCCAGAAGCATTCTCTCCTGAAGTTTTGCCTGCATCTATGACAGGCCTCCTCAGAAGTTGTGAGGTTTGTTGGAAGCCAGGAAAATTGAGTTTATATATCTGTAGAATGTCCAGGGTGAGAGAAAGAACTCTTGTCTCTTTGAGATAGGTGTGAATGTCATACTGCACAGAGGAGCCATTGAAATCCACAAGCATGTGGACAATTTCAACAGAAAGGAGGAAACCATGAAATTGAACAAAATCTGGCAACCAGTATTTAAAAAAACTCTAATCATAACAGTAAATAAAGAACAACACTCAAAAACAGGGGAATTACAGATAAGAAACAATCAGGGCCAGCTTCTTTTTTTGTCATGTCAGGAGCGAACTGAGAAACTGCAAGTCGCTTCTGGTGTGAGAGAATTGGCTGTCTGCAAGGATGTTGCCCACAGGACGCCCGGATGATTTGATGTTTTTATCATCCTTGTGGGAGGCTTCTCTCATGTCCCCGCATGAGGAGCTGGAGTTGATAGAGGGAGCTCATCTGCCTCTCCCCGGATTTGAATCTGCAACCTGTCGGTCTTCAGTCCTGCTGGCACAGGGGTTTAACCCACTGCGCCACCGGGAGCCAGGAGGGCCAGCTGAATACATCCCAACAAAGGATTCCCACATGCAGTAAGAAGCCAGGCCTTGAAGCTGCAAGGCCATTAAATGCTAATCAAGGTGGCCACTTGCAACAATCCAGTGATTCTGGCCTTGAAAGCCTTTGACCATACAATAAATACATGCAAGCATTTATCCATACTCTCCCCATAGCTGGCGATTGTAAAATATTTTCTTCAAGGAAGCCGGGTTGCTTCCCTCTTCCTGATACTGAAACCCTCTGAAGAGTTTCCAAACAACTCCAGGGCTTTACAGAAAACATCCCAAATGCCATTATTCACAACAATTGCTGCCTCTGGTAGCTAAGCTAAGCGACAAATGTTGAATCATTACTGGTTACTAGTAGAAGATAAAAATGATCACTGTCTCAGTGTAAATAGCATTCTCTAATAGGGCTCGTTTATTCCTCCATTTCCCTAGGGCAACTCATATAAAAGGGATAGCAACAGTGCTATGTATACAATAGAAGTACTGTATATCAAATAGAGTGTCTGCACAGAAACTCCCAAGTACTGATTCATAGCGTATTCATCGTAAAGATGAGCTGGGCCAGGAATGCAAACAAATTCACTGTATAGACAGTTTATAAAGAAAAGTGATGCTTTTAGAAATATTGACATTCCTAGTTTTGCAGCATGCACAGATACTTCTTTTTCCGTCCTCTCCTGTTTTTCTTCTTACAGATAACGTTATTTTCTGTATTGTTAATATATGGGCAGTGGGAAGAAAATATCCAATATGCTGCTAAATCTCTTTTTAGGTTTTGTATGCATCCTCCAAGCTGTTGTTGAACATATGGGTCCTATAATAATGACACATGACACACAATTCTTAGTTCTAAAGACTATTCTTCCCTGGGTACTTGCATGGAGTTATGCTATGCCACCACTTTGCTGACTGTTGAATCTTACACTGAAATTTGATAGTGCGGCAACAAGACAAAAACAAAAAACGACAAATCAATGAAGAGTTTTCAAACCCCTTCTAAGTACCCGCTGTCTACACACATTGTTTGCAAGTAGATACCTTCTAATGGCACAAATGTACTACTGTGCAGGCGCATGGGTAGTGCATAGCTTGTTTTGAAAGAAGTGAAAAATGTTTCATACTGTGTCAGTGCTGAATTTCAATGGTAAATGTGGTGGCAGTAGCACAGACATGTAGCTGGGGGAGGGGGCTTGAGGGGCTTCAGCCCCCCCCCCCCAAATTCTCATGGTGGTCCACGAGTAGGCCTTACTGGTACATTGTTTAAACTTTTATGTTAAATATCATGATCTGATCACCATGCTCAATATATCCCATATGCATGGGGGTATTGGGGTAATGATAAAAAAGGTTTGCTAGGGTAGACCCTCTTTCACTCAGACTCAGCCCCCCCCCCCCGAATCAAACTCAACCCCCCCCCCCTTGAATCAAAATCCTGGGCCTGTAGTAGCAGGAGAAATTTCGCAGGCTTGGGCGCAACAAATGGATGATGGCATGTGTACATATTGTCACTTTCTTTCACAATAACATATCATGATCATCCATAAAGAGATTGAGTTGAGGGACAAGATATACTAAGTTCTGACACTTGTCATACTATTTGGAAAATCACCCGGCTCCGAAGAATATACGGGTTGTTGTCTTTTGTCTGGTGTTAAAATTGTCGCTGTTCTATTCTCTAGGTCCTTTTCGCATCTGAATACAAGGAGAGTTATTGGCTAAAGGAGATGTGACCGAGCAAAGGCAACCATGGCCAATATCCAGGATGACATTCAAATGGCCATGCTGTTGATAACAAGCCTGGGAATATTTTGCTTGGGAATGGTGGCAACAGAGGATTCCCATTGTCAGCGGGCTGAGCATCCTGTTATTACAAGTGAAGGTAAGCAACCAAGAAGAGGCCTTTGCGCATGCTATTCTGGAAAGAAGGGCAAAATCTCCTTGGCCCAATGATTTATAGCAGAATGGCTAGAAGCTATTGCTCTTGATTGGTCTATATGTTAAGTTTCACTTATTTGAATTATTGAACTGGTGAGAGAGTATACCAATATGCACAATGTTGTCATAGCTTCTTAAGTGCTATCATAGTACTTTTATAAGATGTTCCATAAGAAAGGGAGCCATGAAGGCTGGAGAATTGTTTGTGCATCATCTTGAAGGCTTTTCAATTACTGCAGAACAAGCTGAGTTGTCTGTACACTGTAAAAGGCATACAGCTGATTGTTTGATACTTCTTTACATACTTTATTTTTGTCCCACATTTTCCCGCAATATAGGGATTCAAGGTGGGCAAAACATTGCTCTGGGGCTATGTGCAAGCTCCAAAACACATTTTTGCAATCCTTGACTCTTCCAGATACTGAATGCCTGTTTCTTCAGGCTAATGATGATGATGATGATGATGATGATGATGATTAAAGTGGTCCCAGTGGTGATTGGCATACTGGATGCAGTGCCTAAAGACCTTGGTCTGCACTTAAACACAATCGACGCTGACAAAATCACCATCGGCCAGTTGAAAAAGGCCACCCTACTGGGATCTGCACTCATTATTCGTTGACACATTACACAGTCCTAGATACTTGGGAAGTGTCCAACGTGTGATCCAATACAACAGCCAGCATAGTGATCTTGTTTGCTGTGTAGTAATCTTGTTGTGCATCAAATAATAATAATAATAATAATAATAATAATAATAATAATAATAATAATAATGAATTGCTGCTTCTAGAAGCCTGCAGAAATGGCAATCCTCCTTATCATGCAGGGGAGCCCCACCCCCCATGACATTTTTCTGGCAGATTTGGTGTAATGGCAGGCACGGGGGGGGGGGCACTCTGGCGCAGTGACGCATTCCCCATCACATGGTAGAAGTGTTGCCTAAACAAGGTAGAAGCGTGCTGGCTCCATTGGGGCAAGCACAACATGGGAACCCTTCTGTGTTGTAGGGAAAGCATCCGGCAACACTTTTACCACGGTTGGGAGCGGAACCGCCACTAGAAGTTGCATGATTGTCATGTGATGACCAGTGTGAGGCTCCATCCATTAGACAGGGTGAAAGAATCCTAAGACACTCAATTGCCCCCATCTGATGAGGTCCATAAACAGCTGAATGCAGGAAAAAGCAAAGCCAACTGATTTGCCTATCTAGAGTAAATACACTTAACACCTTAAAATCTTACTTCAAAAACCTATGTTTTCCTCCATATTGGAAAATTCATTGCCATTTGTTGTTAGCTGCCTTGAATCCCTACATTGGGAAAAATGTGGGATAAAAATAAAGTACTGTAAATGCATAAATCATTTTTGATACTCCATGTTCTCCAGAAGGCCCTAGAGCAGTAAATTGTCAATAAAAAAAATCTAAACAATTCAATCATAAGACTAGATTCAACCTATTTCAATGGTATAGAGATTTGGCGTCAATATGCAGTGTCATGCATCTGATTTTTAGTATATTGCAAGCCCTACAGCTATGTTTTCAAAATTGCCATGTCTAGACTGTGTTCATATTCTTCCAGGGAAGAAAATTAAGGTGGACCATGGTTAAGATGTATTAAATATATACATTATTTCATTAAAATATACAGTCAGCTCTCCAAAATGCCTGGGGTTAGGAGTACAGGACCCCCACGAAAGTGGAAATACAGAATAAAAGCCAGTATATTTGTTTTAAATGAGAGATCACATTATAAGAATATCACTCCAGTAGATGTTGATCATTAGTATCTCACTGAAGGATCTGGAGATTCTGAGAGAGAACATTTTAATGAGACTGATAAATAATGAAATATTCAAAAGTGAAATCTACAAATGTGAAGGGCCATTTGCAATCTCATATTGTCCGATGTTCTTCCTGAACTCATTTATTGATATGGCTGGGGGAAAAAATCTTTTATCATGTGAAAGCTATTTTAATTTTTTTAATATCCTGCTTTATCTCTCCATACAGAGACTCAAAGCAGCTCACAAGTAAAAACACTGCAATTTAAAATATATAAATATACAATGTTGTTGTTCATTCGTTCAGTCGTCTCCGACTCTTCGTGACCTCATGGACCAGCCCACGCCAGAGCTCCCTGTCGGCCGTTACCACCCCCAGCTCCCTCAAGGTCAGTCCAGTCACTTCAAGGATGCCATCCATCCATCTTGCCCTTGGTCGCCTTCCACTTTCCCCAGCATAATTGTCTTCTCTAGGTTTTCCTGTCTCCTCATGATGTGGCTCAAAGTACTTCAACTTTGTCTCTAGTATCCTTCCCTCCAATGAGCAGTCGGGCTTTATTTCCTGGAGGATGGACTGGTTGGATCTTCTCGCAGTCCAAGGCACTCTCAGAACTTTCCTCCAACACCACAGTTCAAAAGCATCGATCTTCCTTCGCTCAGCCTTCCCTAAGGTCCAGCTCTCACATCCGTAGGTGACTACAGGGAATACCATGGCTTTGACTAGGCGGATCTTTGTTGTCAGTCTGATGTCTCTACTCTTCACTATTTTATCGAGACTGGACATTGCTCTCCTCCCAAGAAGTAAGCGTCTTCTGATTTCCTGGCTACAGTCTGCATCTGCAGTAATCTTTGCCCCTAGAAATACAAAGTCTGTCACGGCCTCCACGGTTTCTCCTTCTATTTTCCACTTGTCAATCATTCTTGTTGCCATAATCTTGGTTTTTTTGACGTTTAGCTGCAACCCGGCTTTTGCGCTTTCTTCTTTCACCTTGATTAGAAGGCTCCTCAGCTCCTCCTCGCTTTCGGCCATCAGAGTGGTGTCATCTGCATATCTGAGGTTGTTAATGTTTCTTCCAGCAATTTTCACCCCAGCTTTGCATTCATCAAGCCCCGCACATCGCATGATGTGTTCTGCATACAAGTTAAAAAGGTTGGGTGAGAGGATGCAGCCTTGCCGTACGCCTTTCCCAATCTTGAACCAGCCTGTTGTTCCGTGGTCAGTTCTGACTGTTGCTACTTGGTCCTTGTACAGATTCCTCAGGAGAGAGACAAGGTGGCTTGGGATGCCCATCCCACTAAGAACTTGCCACAATTTATTATGATCCACACAGTCAAAGTCTTTAGAATAGTCAATGAAGCAGAAATAGATGTTTTTCTGAAACTCCCTGCCTTTCTCCATTATCCAGCGGATATTGGCAATCTGGTCTCTTGTTCCTCTGCCTTTTCTAAACCCAGCTTGAACATCTGGCAACTCTCGCTCCATGTATTGCTGGAGTCTTCCTTGCAGGATCTTGAGCATTACCTTACTGGCATGAGAAATAAGGGCCACTGTACGGAAGTTTGAGCAGTCTTTCGCATTTCCCTTTTTTGGTATGGGGATATAAGTTGATTTTTTCCAGTCTGATGGCCATTCTTGTGTTTTCCATAGTTGCTGGCAAATGGCATGCATCACCTTGACAGCATCATCTTTTAAGATTTTAAACAGTTCAGCTGTCCCGTCGTCTCCTGCTGCCTTGTTGTTAGCAATGCTTCTTAAGGCCCATTCAACCTCACTCCTCAGGATGTCTGGTTCTAATTCATTCACCACACCGTCAAAACTATCCTCAATATTATTATCCTTCCTATACAGATCTTCTGTATAGTCTCGCCACCTTCTCTTGATCTCTTCAGCTTCTGTTAGGTCCCTGCCATCTTTGTTTCTTATCATACCAATTTTTGCCTGAAATTTACCTCCAATGTTTCTAATTTTCTGGAAGAGGGCTCTTGTCCTTCCTATTCTGTTGTCTTCTTCCACTTCCATGCATTGCTTATTTAAAATAGTTCCTTATCTCTTCTGGCTAACCTCTGGAATTGCGCATTTAACTGGGCATATCTCCCCTTATCCCTGTTTCCTTTTGCTTTCCTCCTTTCTTGGGCTACTTCCAGTGTCTCAGCAGACAACCATTTTGCCTTCTTGGTTTCCTTTTTCTTTGGGACGTACTTTGTTGCCGCCTCCTGAACAATGTCTCGGACTTCTGTCCATAGTTCTTCTGGGACTCTGTTTACTAAATCTAGTCCTTCAAATCTGTTCTTCACTTCCACTGTATATTCGCTAGGAATGTTAGTGAGATCATATCTAACTGGTCTGTGTATTTTCCCTGATCTCTTTAGTTTTATTCTAAATTGAGCAATAAGAAGTTCGTGATCTGAGCTACAGTCAGCCCCAGGTCTTGTTTTCACCGACTGGATGGATGTCCGCCACCTTTGGCTGCAAAGGATGTAGTCAATCTGATTTCGGTGTTGACCATCTGGTGAGGTCCATGTATAAAGCCGTCTTTTAGGTTGTTGGAAGAGAGTATTCGTTATACACAGCGAGTTTTCCTGGCAAAATTCTATCAGCCTGCGTCCCGCTTCATTTTGTTCTCCCAGACCATGCTTGCCTGTGATCCCAGTTGTCATTTGACTTCCCACCTTGGCATTCCAGTCTCCTGTAATGAAAATAATGTCTCTTTTTGGTGTACTATCCAGTAGGTCCTGCAGATCCTCATAGAACTGATCTACTTCTGCTTCTTCAGCAGCTGTGGTTGGGGCGTATATTTGGATCACTGTAATGTTGAAAGGCTTTCCTTGCACTCGAATTGAGATCATTCTGTCATTTTTTGGGTTGTATCCAAGCACCGCTTTAGCGAATTTCTTATTAATTATGAAGGCTACTCCATTTCTTCGATGTTCCTCTTGTCCGCAGTAGTAGATCTGGTGGCCATCTGATGTGAAGTGGCCCATTCCAGTCCATTTCAGTTCGCTGACCCCCAGCATGTCTATCTTTAGTCTTGACATCTCACCAATAACAACATCCAATTTGCCCTGGCTCATAGATCTTACATTCCAGGTTCCTATGGTGTGTTGATCTTTAGAGCATCGGATTCATCGTTCACCTCCAGTACCGTCGGCCGCTAGCCT